CAAAAAAAAAAAAAAAAAAGGAGTGGGGTCATTTCTGCGCCTGTACCTGACCATATGGTTTAGAGGGCTTTGGATGGCTTATGCAAAGAGTTTGGAAAGGTTCAGACATATTGGCTGAAAAAATAGCACTGGGATGCCTTTGGCTATACTGTATAGGACATTCTAGTCAGAGCTCAGAAGACTAGAAAGCTGATAGAAATCCCACTGGTAACGACCAAGTCCAGGAAGTTTCTGTTAGGAAGAAGGACTTTATTGGCTGTTTGACTCCAGATGATGTGTGTTATGGATTGGCAGAAAATATGTCTGTATTTTGCTTTTCCATAGACTTTGCCTGGGACTGAGATTAAGGTTGTCAAACTAATTTTGTAAAAGAAATTTAAGGAAATGAATATTGAGGCAATGGCATGGCTATTTTTTTGGGACTTTTAGCCATATCTATGTTAAAAATCAAGATCAAAGAGCCCAGCAAGATAATTTACAATATTATGGGCTTGGTCAGAAAATAAATCTGTGGTCTTCAAAGATAGAGAAGAGGAAATCTTAATTGCTAAGACAGAACAGAAGAATAAAAATGGTGGCCTGAGGGCATCACAAGAAATAGCAGGACTCTGCCCTTTACAGCTTCAAAATTGCAAAAGTGAAAGACTTTGCTTTGAGAAGAAAACTCCAGCACACCATATTCCAGAATGGCAGCAGCATAGAGAATTTGTTCCTCAGAATTGAACTCAGAGTGCTCAGCAATCTAGGCACTTGACCCTTATAGCCAAGTGAGAAGGAAGCCTGGCTACTGCTCTAGCTGGTAACAGACCTTGGCATAGTCCATATAGCACTGGTTTTAGGCACATGCAGAATGCATGTGTGGTCAGGAAGCCTTCTACTCAGATTTCAGAAGGCCTGGGAGGCCAGACAGGTTGCTTGAGAGGAAAGTGTATAAAGCTGTACGTGTGAGGCCAAAGGTGCAATGGAGAACCCAGAAGTTTGTAGAAGCCAGGAATGCGGATCATCAGAGGAAAACTGAAAGTAGAGAACAAAGTGGGCCTAAGAGAGAAGCCATGGGAGTTTTACTCACTAGCAGTGCCCTTTGGAGTTGACATGTTGCCACAGCTTGCCTTGGATGCTGCATATGGAATTATAGCACTTAATGTTTGCCTTGCTGGATTTTAGACTGGCATTGGTCCCATTCTTTTGTATCTCTGTTTGTAACTTTTGGAATGGAAATGTCTGTCTTGTGCCATTGAATGTTGGAAGTGTTCAACTTTCATTTGTATAGGGACTAACAACTAAGAGTTTGCCTTAAATATCTGAGGAGATTTTTGACTTGGATTTTTCAGCAATGTTGAAACTGTTGGGAATTTGGCAACTGTTAGAGATTGCTAAAATGACTTTTGCATAAAGGGATGGACATGGGTCTTGGGGGGGGCAGGGGCAGAATGTTAGGGTTTGGGTCTAGATGTCTCCCCAAAGCCTCATGCAGTCATAGGCTTTTTTCTTCAGAGGTGGTTGAATCTACAGTGTATGACTAATTCATAGTGCAATGCTGGGATTAAGGGTAAGTGATTGCTGGATCAGTCCACTGATTAGATTGGCACCATCCTAATCCTGGTAGACAGGATACAATATAAGGGACAGAAAGAGCTCCCCTCTCTCCTCCCTCTTCTCCTCCTTCTCCCCCTCCTTCTTCCTTCTCTTGTTGCTTTACTGACTTTCACTGCCATAACTGCTGCCCTCTGCTATGAGCCACTCTGCCTTGGAGCCAAATGATTATAGACTAAAACTTCTACAAACTGGGATCTAAATAAATTTCTTCCCCTTTAACTTTGGGCATTGGATATTTTGTCTCAGCAATGAGGAAAAATAACACATCAACTTTTTAAAAAGAGAACAAAAAATAGAAAAGAAAGAAAGAAAGACGGGCCAGCTAGATAGCTCAGGAGACTAAAGCACCTGCTTAGGCAGAGCGCAGTGGCTGGGGTTTGATCCCCTGCATACCCTGCCAGCCCTGTCCCCAGGGCATGCTGAGATAGCAATTGAGACTGGGCGTGGTGGTGTGTGCCTATAATCCCAGTGCTTGGGAGGCTGAAAACAGGAGAATCACTACGAGTCTGATCTATGTAGTGAGACCCTGTAGACCTTGTAGACCCTATACCAAATACATAAAAAAATTTAAAGAAACCAAAAACTATACAAAATTTCACTAAACAAAATAATAGGAATTCAACAATGGTTGCTATATTGCTTAACGTTGTCTTCAAATTAGTTGTTCAGATTACTAGATATAAACATGCAAAATTGATTTTTCAAAAGTTATAAGAAATTAAAAAGGAGAAGAAAAAGTACTAACTGTTTCTTTCATAGACCAACAGAAATCAGCTGTACAATTATCCATGCTATCCTGTATATATACATAAATATATATCTTTTTCCCTTCCTTCTTTATTTCTTTTGTCCTCTTCCTCATCAGCTTTGTTAATGTTGCCTGGTGATTACACTGAGTTATGTGGTTTGGGGCAGTAACATCATTCAATCAATTTGTTCTTCTAAGTGCAACACATGAGAAGGCACATTACGGTGGTTTGCCCACCACTCAAATATGGAGTATCACGGCTTTGATCATCACGTCCTAGAGGACATACACGAATGTTCCTATCTCTGGCTTTATGTTCTATGATTGTGGGCAAAAGGGGCACAGAGTTAAATTCACATGACCTGTGTGATGGCCTTGAAGTCGACATTTCAGGCTGCATTGTTGTTTGATAAGGAACGCACAGCTCTGCCCCAAGCCCAGCAGCAAAGTTACCTGCTAACAGTCAGCTTACTACAGCATCCTTAGCAGGCCCAGCCAAGACTAGCACGAGAATAACATAAATCAGTAGTTCACAGTTGTGAGCAAAAGAAATAGTCCTTTTAAGGCACCACATCTTGTAGTGCTGTGCTACATCACAATAGCTAACTGATGCTTCTTATTCTTCAGGGGAAAAAGCTAGGGCTCTATTAATTTCAGATCATTGAAGAAATAATTGTTCCAGTTTTCTTCCGGCTATGTCTTATCTCTTCTAGAGACCTGGCTCTGCCTATGTGTGTGATTCAAAGGATCATTTTAATTATGTGGTTTGACACAAGGCCAAGGACAAATCACAGTGCCACATCTCTTTGTTGCTTGACTAGATGGATCAAGAGGCTTCCTTAATGTTCTTCCATAGAAATCAGCTAATGAAGACTCTCTCTGGACGGAGACCCCAGAGCAGAAGAGAAGCTTCTCGCTAATAAGCTGACAGCCACCTGGTGGGGCTTATGTTTCACTCCGGCTCATCCATGTACCAGCTCCTTAACCTCTTCCCTGTGGATGGGGATTTGGTGCATCTGGGATGCAGCCTGAGGATTTGTATTTTTACCAGGTGCATCTGCTTGCTATTTCTAATGATCAGAGAAGTTTGGGAAATCCTGCATTATAAAGGACTTCTTAACACAGGCTGTGGGGAATGGTGAGACAGCTCAGTAGAATAAGCGCTTTCCTGGCAAGTGCAAGGGTCTGAGTTCAAACCTTGGTTCCACCAAAAAAAAAAAGAAAGAACACAGGCTGTGCTTTAAAATCATTGGGATTTTTAAAAAATCCTTACTGTCTGAAACATTTCCTTCCAGCAGAATCTCTAGGGCTGGCACCCAAGCATCAGTATATTTTTTAAATACTTCCCAGAGGAGCAGTGTGCAGCCAAGCAGAACCTGTGCTGATTTCTGTGACTAATGATTAAGAAACCGACTTTTTCTCTATTGGCAGAAAAATCCTCCTTCAATAGCACTTGTTTCTGATAATGAAGGTGTACGTATTATGATGCTCATGAAATCCTGCCCCGCGGGCTTTTTATGGTTTTCTCCCTCAGCGCTCAGCTGATTTTCCAGGAGGAAGTTGAATTTTTTTCTCCTGAAAAGCTATTTTCTAAGTCTTATAATTTTTTTTAAACAAAATTCACATTTTATTTAGATTGAAATAAACTATACAAAATTTTCTTCACCAAAAATAACAGCAATATTTTCTGTATTATTTCTAGATAAACCACAAAACATTCGTTTTGTAGGTTTTCCAGATTTTGTTTATAAATCAAGATGAGGCAGTAGATAGTTGTGGAAAAAGATGGAAGAAAACAGACAATTCAGTTGCCTGTATGATGGCCTCTGATTCCATATGGACCATGAAGCAGAAGTGTTCGACATTTTCCTGCTAAGAAGCTTAAGAAGATGTAGGCTCAACAAAGGAATGGAAACAGCAACAACCAGATGTGGAGTACAGTAGCAAGCTTTTCCATTCAAACTGTAACCTCTTCTTTTAGGTTCATTTCATAAAAACAAAATCTACACTGAAATCTGGTGAGCTCACAAACTTTTCAGCTAAGGGAATTACTAGAAAAAAGCTTATAAATTTATTTCTGGGGGAAAAAAAGGACTTTTTCCTTTTTGCTGCGCTGTTTGCTACGAGAGACTGAAGTACGGGTTCTGAGCATCAGCAGCTGGAGCAGGTGTTGCCAGGGCTCTGCCCTTCTCCTGAGAGACACAGCCGATTGCCACGCACAGAGGTCCTGGGTGGGCACCTACTCTATGCTGGAGGGCAGCATTTGGGTTACTGAAACTCTCCACCTATTGAAACAGAAAACCCCGCAAAAGGTCCTGGGAATTTCCATCTTCAGCAGTAGCCCCTTCACCAGTGACAGGTGCACTGGTATGAATGTGCCAGCTGCCCTACTCTGCCTCTAGACATCTCCTGAAAGGCGGGCCAAAGTCACTCCTACCTCCTCACCAACGTGAGCTTGACTTAATTTTGCACCTCGGCATGGCCACCTTCCCTTTCCTATCCAATTCTTCCCTTCCCATTGGCTTTTTCTTGGAAGTCCTTTTATAAAACATGTCAGAGAGTCCTCATCTCAAAGATTTCTTCTACTGAACCAATTCTAAGGCAGCAACTGCCAAGACTGCAACCTCCAGGACCTTTACAAGGCGGTGGCACTGACCTTCGTCCTTAATACACAGAGCACTGTACATGCCTCCAGGAGCGGGGCTGCTCTCAATTCGCACACCAACAGCTCTCGTGATCTGCTGTTCATCACTCCCTTTGCTACACACAGTTGTCCTAGAACAGACAAAGGAGACACTGAGTTAGCAGAACTTCTCTGAATTGAAAGAAAGGGAAAAGAATAGTTCTTTTCTGCTATCAACTCTGACTCAGCAGATATTCTTCTTGATTCACGAGCTTTGACTGAAAGTGTCAATATGGAAACACTCTCCTCCCAAAGTCAACATTCAGCTAATACTTGAGTTGCAGTCACAGGTATCAATACAAGTTTCAGGGGCAATATACTCTTGGCCTCCTAGTGTAGTTTAACTTCACAACATTTTGCTCTTTTTCCTGTTATTTTTTCACATTTCTTAAGATAGATCTTTAGTTCATGAACCTTCAGCTTTCTTCATTTTCTAACACAAATATTTAATGTGCTGTGTTTCCTTCCAGGGATACTTTTAGTAGCACTAGATTAGCTTGGGTATATTTTTGACATTATCCAATACTAAATATGTTCTGAATTCTATTATAACCTGAAGTTCGTCCCAGGATTTGTTTAGGAATAGCTTGTGTAACAGCGAATAGTCAAATTTTTAACAATTCTCCTGGCAAGCTGGGCACAGTAGCACATGTCTGTAGCCTTAGCTCCTTGGGGGGCTGGGTTAGGGGGACTGGTTGAGGGCCTGAGTTTCAGACCAGTGGGAACAACACAGCAAGATTACACATGAAAACAAAGAAAAAAGCCCAACCTAAGCCAAACAAAAACCACTTGACACTCTGTTTATAATATGAACATCTGTCTACTTATACTTGATCACCAATTTCTTTTAATTTAGATCTGCTATCTTACACATCTGTAATGGGTGATACATTGTGTCGACTTGAGAAGTTTAGAAGTTTAAACAGGTGACTCAGTAGGGGCCAAGGATTCCCACTCTGTGAACATCCTCATTCTGTGCAAGAGGAGGGCAGAGAAATGCTGTGGGTGCTACACCTGTGCTGGGGGTGGTCACCTGCTTACAATATATAGGGGAAAAAAGAGGCGTGCATTCCCCGCTTTTGCTGTCCTCTGTCACCTTGCAGTGTTTCCCTGTGTCATGCCACTCTGCCTTGGAGCCAGCTGGTTATGGACTGAAACCTCCATAAACTGGGAGCTAAATAAAACTTTCCTCCCTAATTTTGGGTGTCAGATATTTTGTCTGAGCAAAGAGAAAAAACCAACTGAGACAACATCTGACCCATTTGTGTGTGTTTCATCCTTCCTCTCCCTATTTTGGATCATCTGAATTCCTTTTATGGGGGGGGGAAGAGCACTGAATTTCTTCCTCTGTATGGATTTGACTATTATTTATCCTTTTACTATTCCTTTAAGTAGAACCCAGAAGTTACTTCTACCCTTTTCCTCAGTAATGTAACATAAGGTACAATGTATTGAATTAAGATACTTTTCACCTACACTATTTTAGTGTGTAGTATTTATTGCTATTTTATATAAATTACATAATTGCAATGTGCCCATATTATTTCTTCTATTCATTATTTTATCCCATGTCTACAAGATTCTACCTACAATTAGTTTTCCCTGCCTGAAGAATCCCCTTGAAGTGTTTCTTTTTATGAAGAACAAATATAATGGATTTTCTCAATTTTCATCTATCTGATAAGGTCTTCATCTCACCTTTAATACTGAATGATATTTTCACTGGGTATAGAATTTTTAGCTTGACAGCAGCTTTGTTTCAGCACTTTGATGATATTGTGTTTGGGCATTCAATATCAATTTATTATTTTTCCTTTGAAAGTAAGCTTTTTCCTCAATTTTTAATTTTTTTTACTTTTATTTGATTCCTATCAGCCTTCCATGATATGCCGAGTTGTGGATTTCTTTTTATGTGTTGTAGCTGGGCTGTGCAGGACTTTCTGAATCTGTGCTTGCTAGTCTTAAACCTCGGCTGGTCTCAAATTCATAGTGATCCTCCTGTCTCAGCCTCCTAAGTGCTGGGATTACAGGTGAGCCCCACCATACTCAGCTTCTTCATGCTTTTCTTCAGCTGTTGATCATTCTCATGTGCTTTTATGCCACCTCCTTCCTCTTCTGTTTAGAATTCTGATTACATTCACCTGCATTGTGTTTTCCACTTTCCTCTATACTTTTCACCTTTCCCTTGTGTTACTTATTCTGGATCTCTCTCTCTCTCTCTCTCTCTCTCTCTCTCTCTCTCTCTCTCACACACACACACACACACATCTTGCAATTCACTAATAATCTCTTTTGACCAGGAAGACAACAATATGCAATATATTAATTATTTTAACTGTCCTACTAACCTGTTTTGAAACTGTTTCATTGCTATTTTATCTTTCCTCATTAAAATGAATAAAAAATAATCTCTTTTCAACTTTTTTGAGTTTAGTACTGGGCATTAAACTCAGGGCCTTTTCACTGAGCTACATCTCTAGACTTTTAAAAAATTTTCAGACAGGTTCTCACTAAATCATTAAGTTGGCCAGGAAGTGCTTGAATTTGTGATCCTCCTGCCTCAGCCTCCCAGAATTCTGGGATTACATGTGCTAGGATTAAAATGCCTGACTTCTATGGCATTTTTAAAATCTGCTCTCAAATTCATCAACTTCTTAATTATAGTTACTGTGTTTCTTTTTTTAAAAAAAATATTAAATTTTTATTTATTTAACATTTATTTAGAGTGTGTGTGTGTGTGTGTGTGGCCAGCTCAGCCCACCTGGGGGCAGGGCTGGCTGGCATGTGGTGCTGGGGGATCGAACCGCGGTCCCTGTGCTTTGCCAAGCTTGTTCCAAGTAGGTGCTTTAGACCACTGAGCCATCTCTCCAGCCCCAGTTACTGTGTTTCATTTGCAGAGTTTCCATTTGGATATTTTTAATAGGTCCTCTGCCAAACTTCTTATATTTTATATATTTGAAAATGCTTGTTTGTTTTGATTTCTTGTTTGTTTGTTTGTTTTGAGTAAGAGTCTTGCTATGCATTTTAAGCTAGTCCTGAACTTGGCATGTAGCCCAGCCTGCCCTTGAACTCATGACAATCCTCCTGCCTCAGGCTCCTGAGTGCTTGGATCACAGCCATGCACTACCATACCTGGTCTATCTTTAAATATTATAAGAGTAGTTAAAATCTGAATCTACCAATGCAAATATCTGGAACTTCTATTAGCTACTTTTCTTCCTGGATTCTATTTTGTATTTACTTTGTCTCCTGATGTGACTAGTTATTTTGTATTGTGTGAAAAGTTCTACAGTGGCTAACATTGCTAGCTGAAGTAAATAGAAACATTGTGTGATATTTTTTTCCTCAAAAGAGAATTTTCATTGATTCTTCCAAAGACCAGGAGCCCTAGAAATGGAATCCAGAATCTCTGCCATCCAAATCCAAGGTGTTGGAGGATTTGATGGCTTTCTCCTCGGAAAGCCTCTGGCCAGTTACCTCCTATTCCTGGAGTACAGCTCAGTAAGGTGCACACTTCCAAAGTAAAATGGCTCACCACACCCCCTCTGTGCAGAAGTTGAAGTAAAACTCCAGCCCTGTGAGGCTGTCACTCAGCTTTTCAGACACCTTTAAGGAATATGCAAATACTCCCAGGAAACTTGTGGCCCCAAACTCTGAATTCACTTTAGATCTTAATTCTTCTCTGGATTTATGTGTACACTCAACACAAATTCAGGGGGATACAGGTCATGTCTGCTATAAATCTATTATGTCATAACTGTAAGATGCACCAGGAACTTTAATAATTGCTTTTTGGTGTATGAGTGGTGAGAGAGCCATGCAGAAATACCCACTGTGAAATGTACATACCAATGGTCAGGTACTTCCTGGGCCCAGAAATATTAAAATGAGAAGATAAAATACATTCTGGTGTTGTGTAATAATACAATGTGCACATGTATGTTTTCCTTATAAAGAAGTATCTCCTTAACAGGCAGAGACCTCTCTTGTGAAGTCCAGCAAACTCACAGAAGACAGACCTTTGCGGTGACCCAGTAGAATAATGACTGTCTTCTCATGTCTGGGAAGCCTCAGCCAGTCCCAGGCTGGCTCTCCAGGATCGCTGAGTACCCTGATCCCATGAAGAAATTGTAGGAATGGGGTTACAAAAAATATTCCTACTTGGTTACATTATGGAAAGGAGCACGGATATAAAATACAAGGCAGAAAAGACCCCAGCTCCAGACTCCGTGCAGTGCCCTGGCTCCAGCCTCCGTGGGCCTCTTCCATTTAGTCACTGCTCCATGCTCAGTACATTTGGAGGCGCGAGTGGGCTGGGCTGTGTCTTGCGTGGACACTGCCAGCAGGCCAGAGTCATCGTCAACCAAAGCTGATTTGCTCTTTCACATTCCTCTAGCATGAAGGAGAACATGGAACAGCACCTGCCTTCTTGGAGACAGACAGGAGCAGCACTATTGGGAAGTTTCCTCTCAGCTGGCCATAGAGTTACTCCTCTGGGGTCTTCCACAGATCAGGAGCACAGACAGAACACGGGGGAGCAAGTTGGCCCTGTTTATCCCATCTAGGAATTGAGCTGGGAAGACTCACAGGCTGATGATACCTCAACAGTGGGCTAAGATCAGCTGGACGCATCTTTGATCACTGCTGGCAGCTTATTCCAGCTTTTGGCTAGGACTCTGGTTAGAGCTGTTGACAAGAGGTCCTACGCAAGGCTCCCTCATGTGGCCTGGCCTCCCTGACAGCACAGTGGTCTCAAAATAGACTTTATATAGCATCTTAAGTCTACAAAGGTAAGTGTCTCTCACACTCAGGTGGAAGCTGCTTGGCTTTTCCCACCAAACCTTAGTAGTCACCAAGTGTCACTCTTACACCTTCAGTGGGCAGACCGCACCGTGCTGTGTGCAAGCAGACACAGGGCACACCTCTCGTTGTGAGTGGCTTAGAGAACTGGTGGCTGTGATTTCATTAATCAATATTAATTATTTAAGTGATAAGAGAATGATTGATAAAGAGTATAATCACAATAATAATAATTTTTTTCCCAAGTACAATGCTTACGTATTTGTAATAAACGCATACACAATGCTTGTTCTGGGCCAGGCACTATTTTCTAAGCACTTTACCTTTTATTTAAAAAAATTACATTTATTTAATTTCTTGGTTTTTTATTTATTTTTTATGTGTTTAGTACAGGGTCTACTGGATTTCACTACACAAATCGGACTCATAGTGATCCTCCTGTTTTCAGCCTCCCAAGTGCTGGGGTTACAGCTGCAGTCTCAATTGCCATCTCAGTGTGCCCTGGGGGCGGGGCCAGTGCAGCAAGCAGGGGTTTGAACCACGCTTGCTGTTTGCCTAAGCAGGAGCTTTAATCTGCTGAACTATCTCAGCCCCAATTTCTTTTTTTTTTTTTATTGGTTATACAAATGAATGAGTTTAACTTTGGCAGAGTCATACAGGCACATACCATACTTTGATCATTTGCATTCCCCATCACCCCCCAGCACCCCACTCCAACTTTGGTGGCTATGTTTTAAAACCTCCATCCCATATTCTTATGCATCAACATGCAGATGAATTTCTGCAGGAAAAAGGCTATAAAGGCCATATACTGAACAATGAAATTAGCAACTATAACCTCTCAGGTGGGAAAGAAGAAGCTCATTGCATACATGCATCACTTGAAATTTTTACAATGTATTTTTGTAACTTAAAGAGAAAACTCCAAATAAGAAAAAGGAAAGAATTGTGATGTAACTCCGGATCAATATATTTATATAAGAATTTGAAACCAGAATGTGCTGAAATCCCCTGCTCACTGCACTTTGTCTGTCCTGGCACCACCCCAGGATGATTGCTGAGCACTCATCTAAGCCCTGGCAGGGCAGTCGGGGCAAGGTGGAAAGGAGAACTCACCCGAGGGTGCCATCTGCCAGCCAGCCTGTGGTGCACACTGCTAAGGCACAGTCCTGGACCACCCTGTGCAGCTCGTCCGCAGACACCAGGTGGGCGCCCCTGCTCTTACAGGAGAGCCGAGCTGCCTCCAGGTCCAGGCCTTGAGAGCCGTTTTGAGACTCCAGCACAAAGAGCTTCCCTGTGTAAAGACAAGCACAAACACACATGGGTTCTAGGATTCATAGGACCTTAATCTCAGCAAATGCACTGACTGGAAGACACCCAAAAGGCAGCTTCCCAACTGCCTGAGACCCAAACACAGCCACTCTCTCTGCATCCCATCCCTGGGACCAAGTGATAACAGTTACACTAGTGTTTTCATCTTTGCTCTTATCTTTAAAAAAAAAATTAGATAGGGTTTCACTATGTTGCCCAGGCTGGTCTGGAACTTATAGAGTGAATGACCCTTTTGTCTCAGCCTCCCCAGTAGCTGCGACTCCAGGTATGTGCCACCACCACACCTGGCTTGCTATTACCTTCTTTAAAAAGGCAAACAAAATCAGCTGCTCTGGCATGCTGTATGTCATGCTATCTGGATGTTACTCATATTTTAAAAGGTGCTTTACACTCCACCACATTGCAGGGTTCAGTGAAGTCCCCCTGAATTGAGTCACTTGATGGTCTTGAAGGCACAATTCAAGCCTCAGTTTTGCCTTCCTCTGCTTCCTGCAGCCCTGAGGTGACTCTCTCTATAGAAGGTTGCTTCTCCTTCCTCTGTCCCTTGCCTTTGAGCTTCTGAAGCTTTTCTCACAGTAAATTCATTCATGTCTGTAGTCCTTCTCTTCTACTGGACCAAACAGCCTAGATCCTGCCTGGTACACCTTCTTCCCGCAGCACAACAGTCGGCAGGTGTGCAGTGACCTACGTGGTAATGACAGCACAGACTCAGGCAGAGGTGGAAGCCCAGCCTAAAAGCAAAAGGGAGCTCCAGGCAAGGGAACCGCAGTGTAGGAGGAGGCACTGTGGTCCCCAGGATCCTCTAGGAGGGATAAAGTAGTGCTTTGGACAGCGCTACCTGACTTTACATAAAGCCAGGGAAGAAAAAAACAAACCAAACTAAACCAGGTAGAATGAAACACTTCCATCTGTCAGCATTTTTTTCCAGTACTGGGGACTGAACCTAGGGCATTTGCTTTGTGCTATATCCCCAGCCTGACACCCCCTTATTTTGAGACAGGATCTTGCTAAATCACCCAGGATGAGCTCAACTTTGATCCTTCTGCCAAAGCCTCCCGGAGTGCTAGGATTACAGGGCTATGTCACCACGCTTGGCTAGCAGACTTTTCATAATGATCTTGCTGGAACAAGACAAGACACCTGACTGCACATAAAACTACAGAATGCACATTCATTTTGGGCACATACAAAACATTTGGAAAAATAATCAAATATTGAGCTACCAAACAAATTAAAAAAAAATCTCAAAAAACCAAAATCATATCAAGTATCTTTTGGACCACAATACAAGCTAGCACCCTTTTTAAAAAATTGTCAAGCATTTACATCTCTATTATGAGCCAGGTGTTATTCAAATTATAAATATTCATTATGTTAATCCTCAAAATAGTGCTGACATAGGTGTTATTACTATCCCCATTTTTTAGCATAATACTTGTTCAAGATCACATAGTAGAGATATAAAACCAGTCAGTTTGGTTCTCTGTCAGTAGTTTTTTTCTTTTTTGAGATAGGGTCTTGCTATGTAGTTGAGGCTGGCCTTGAGTTTACTACATAGCCCAGGCTAGACTTAAACTCGCAGCCGTTCTCCTGCCTCAGCCTCCCAGGTGCTGGGATTACAAGCATGCACCACCATGCCCAGCAATTTTTTTTTATTAGTTTATGTTTGCAATACATTAAGTGATATCCCTGTTAATGATCATTAATCAACATGCTTCTACATTGCCTATTGATAACAACGTGTAAGTGGGAAATCTCCTTGAATATGGAAGCTACAAAATATACTTCTAACTGAACCATGTACTCAAACAATCAGAAAGTATTCTAATTTAAAGGACAAAAACTTGTGGAAAAACTAGCTTAGAAATTTATAATTTTCAAGGCTCATGTTATAAAAGTGGTATAATTAAAATATCAATGATCTAAGATCTTTATCTTTAAAACCTAAACCTAAAAAGAAATCACAAAAATCTTAGCTTTTAAAGAAGTAGAAAAAAGGAAATAACAGAGCAGAAGTCAATGAAGTGTAAAGGCAGAATTACACTAAAGAAAACAAACAAAGCCAGAAATTTGAGTTTTTCTCAAAAGAATAACAAAGTTTACAATCTCCTAGCCAAACTGATCAAGGCAAAAAGCAAGAATACAAATGACCAACATAGGGGCCGGGGAGATGACTCAGTAGAATAAGCACTTCCCTGGCAAGCGCAAGGCCCTGAGTTCAATCCTCGGTTCCACAAAAAAAACCCAACAACAACAACAATAAAAAACAACAAATGGCCAAGATCAAGAAGGAAAGGGAGCATTTCTACACATCCCAAGATGCTGAAATAATGGTTACAGATGATGAGGTTAGTTGTGCCAGTATGTTTGGCAATTTGGGTGAAATGGGCAAATTTCTTAAAAAAAAAAAAAACTTAGAAAACGGAAACAAATAAATTTTAAAATCTGAATATTCTTTTATCTGCTAAAGAAATAAAATCATTATTCAAAATTTTCCACAAGAAAAATTTCAAATGCAAATGATCTTACTACTAAAACCCACAAACAAAAATAAAACCCGCAAACAAACAAATTACTAACACCAACAACAAAAAGACAAAAATGTCTCACCTTATAACAACGCTTTCTGAGAATAAAAGAGGAAACAAGTTTCCAGTTCATTTAGGAACTGTCATAACCCTGATGAGAAATGAAAATTATAGGCCAATATAGTAACTAATAGGATCAATGATCCTAAATCTGTTGCCCTCACTTCAGGTTCAATTCAAAGTTTTCTCATTGTAAAATTTTTCTCTAGTATTCCATCCACACACAGTTTTAAAGACCATGCTTACACAAATGACACCTTTTCCTCTTCAGATCAAATCTTTTCTGTGCATTCTGTCCCCAGAACAACAGAAATAATACCTGATAGGGTGCCTCTACACCTAGTCTTGCCTGTTTAACCTACCCTCCCTACTTTACAGTTAGGGTGATCTCTTCAAAATGCAAGTGTGAGGCTGGGCGTGGCACACACTCCTGCAATCCCAGCATTTGCAGGGCTGACACAGGAGAATTGCAAATTTGAGCCCAGCCTAGGGAATTTAATGAGACCCTATTTAAAAAAAAATTTTTTTTTAAAGATTGAGGATATAGCTCAGTGGGAAGCCCTGGGTTTGATTCCCAGTTCAGAAGAAAGGGAGTTAGGGGTAAATCTGATCAGTCACTGTACCTGAAACCATTTCAACAGCCTCCTATTCCATGAGTCTCCATGTTATGGTGCCCTGGCAGCCTCTCCAGCATCATCTCAGACCACTTCAGCCTTGCCGCTCTGCCTCAGCTACTCACCACAAGTCCCATCTGCAACTACCACTTAAAGTTCTTCCAAGTCTTCTTCCTGGGCACTCTTCCCTTTCCTTTGCCTCCTAAATTCTTACTTATCTTTCAGAGTCTCCTGCACCAAGGCAAATTATTCCAATTTAGGCTCTACCACAGGCAGAGCACCTTCTTTAATCATATTCATTACAAAATTGCAATTTAACATTTCTTTTTTAGGATTAATTGTCTAATGATTCGCTTCCCCACTGGGTATTTAAGCTTTCTGATAGAAAGTACCTATTTCACTTCATCATTCTACTTTCACCGGCAAGAACAGTACCTGTTATATAGTAGACATTCAATAAATAGCTGTTGAATTAATTATTCTTTCTCTGCAATCACTAGTCAAAACAGTTTATTTGCATTGAGCTAATATAATTTTTTTTCCATTTCAAGAGTGTTTAAAAGTATGTAGTAGGCCTCCCTTACGTATGAGATACATGTCTAAATAGTCAAATGTAAACTTATTTCATTTGAATTGTTCTTATGAACTTATCTTTAAAAAATAGTTTCTGTCTCAATCTATGTCTTCAAATATCTGTAATGCATCACAATTTACTTAACATCATTTCCGGCTCCTCTTGTCACCTAGCACACAAATAACTAAGTTAACTACCTAAGTGGTGGTAGTTAAACATACATTTATTAAAGAATCCTTTCATAATATAGCCTATAATTCTTCAATGGCTCTATTATAAAAGTGGGAACTCAGCAAATGCAATTTCTTAAAAGGAAGTGTATTTGCAATTCTCCACTGGGGAAGCAGAGAAGACAAAAGGGAGAGGGCGGTGAGGAAGTTTCTCTGGCACTCAGTACCAAGGTGGTATGGACCTGAGTGTGTCTTCACCTTCCCTTTGCCCAGTGACAGTTCTGCCTTCACCTTTCTTTGACTCATAACAAGACCATTAGGCATGAAATATTGAGCCTCATCCATGGGGCATTTCACTTACAAACATCATGGACTGCGAAAATACTTCTTTAAAAGGAATTAAAATTGGTATAAAAGAATACATTGCTTACAAATTAATAAGCTTCAGTACACTCCACTTACATTTCTTAGAATCAACTTAATTTTTATAAGTACATCAGGACAAAAATACTAAAGAATGTCCAGCAGACTGCTAATATGAGGTTTAAGTTGGGGGTGAAGTAGAATGAGATTCGTAAAATGGTGTGTGCACAACATAATGATTCACTCAAAACAACAACAACAACAACAACAAAAACCAAGTCAATGGATTGTACAATTTAAAAGGGTAAATTTCATGTGAATTTGATCTCAACTTAAAGAATTAACAGTGGTCACTACTTGCTTTGAAAGTTAAAAATGTTTTGCCTCTAACTTTGAAGATCTGAAGCAATGAGTCATTAATTAGAAAGAGCTTTTCAAGCATGGACTTAACAAAGGGCATAAAAATTGTAAAATAATCTGTAGCTTTTTTCTCTTGCCCCTTCCCTTTTCTTTAACCACCACACTTCTTTTTGCCCAGCCTTTTGGCAGCCCCACTATGCTTTGCTGGAAAAGAATGGCGTTTTAAAATCCTGAAAGCATTTGTCCTGAATCAGCTGAGGGCTTTTCGCCTCTATCAATCTTTATTATCCTAAGTGTGGCCTTACTAGCAACCCCTTGCGGGTATGAGGATGCTAGCTTTTAAATTTGCTTTCTTCAGAGTCTCCTGAGCCAAGTTTATAGGGGTTTTGTTCCAACAGCAAAACACAGCTGGATCAGCTTTTCAAAACGGAACTGTTACAAGGCCCGATCCCGCTAATTTATGGGAAATAGTAAATGCTGACTTCAGGTTCAAAAGACAACCCAAAGTAGGACAGTTCTCAGGAGTCTGCTACAGTCGGACCCCTACATACTGCTCTATCTCATGCCCCCTCCCCTTATCATTTATCCCATTCCTGGTGCCACCGGGCTTTGGACCAGCTATTCCTCTCCAGTTTCCTCCTCCTTTCCCCTATACCTTGGGGGATTCCCACTCATCTTTCAGATCTTCCTGGACCCAAGCAAAGTCTCCGAGGGCGTTTTCTAATCACTGGCCTTGTGGTTGGCACATTTTAAATAGACACTGAGAAATTGAGGGATCTAGAAAATTAACCCCAATATACCCTAGACCCGATTGCGACCCTAAGAACTTCCACGGAGCCCTTGGAAACTAGCACCGGGCCGCAGGACCAGCACGTCTCTCCTTGAGCCCCGCCACAGGGAGGCAAAACCCAAAAGCCCGGGACCCGCTGGCCGGAGGAGGACGCTGTGTCGCCGGGCGGCCGCCCTCCTCCTTCCTCCGCCAGGCCGCCCAGGCCCGCGACCCCGCGCACTTACCATCCGCTCGCACCGACAGGCGCTGCAGTCCGAGCAGGAGCAGCGCGGCCGCCCAGAGCGCGCACAGACGGCGGCGCGCCGGGGCGCAGGGGCCGGGGCCCG